TAAGTAGCATACATTTAAATTAAATCATAAAAACATCTCCTTTTTTCTGTATGCATTACTTTCACTAAACATTGTATTCTTGAATTTGTAAAAACCAGCTAATAAATATAACTATCACAGTCAGTAGTTACTGAAAGAAGACTACATATAAAAGTAATCATGATAACTATACAGGTAAAAACTAAATAATAATAACTTGTACATTTTATCTATGCAAAATATATATGCATGTGGACAAGGACTTGAAGGGAACAATGAAACATGAAAATTATTTTTTTTTGGGGGGGGGGGAAGCATTATATTATTTTGAAAACACCATTTTAAATGGCTATATAATATTCCATCTGTGAATGAGCTACTTAATCATAATACCTTATTATTGGACATTTTAGTTGTTTCTTGTTGTTTGTTTTCTTGCTTCTATAAATACTAATAGAATTAATATATCTGTGTGTTTCTGTGTGTGTGTATTGCTACAGGTAAGTTGACTTGTAGATATATGCTTTTTCTCATAGCTCTAAATGTTTTTCTATGGTTCATAATTGTTTCCGTTTTATTTGCCGTCTTCATGTTCTGTGTAGCCCTCTGGTCTCCTCTGAAGTAGACTAGCTATTCACTGCACAGCTGACATCCTGGGGATACCACCATTGCCCAGGGATTCCCTTTCATTCTCCTGTTTCCTGGATCCTTTTTCTTTTCCTTGGTTTCCTTCTTTGTCTAGGGCAGTGTTTCCCAAAGTGTGGTACACGTACCCCCAGGGGTACGGGAAGAGTTTGGTGGGGGTATGCACTGCACCGTGCTTAGCTGCGCCTAATTCTACGTTCTCATGAGTACGAGGGGTACTCAGTGTTATGACAATTATAGAAGGGGTATGCCAAAAGTTTGGGAAACACTGGTCTAGGGGAACAATCTTACTCCCCACTCCCTTGCAGTAGCTTCTTGAGAAAGGCATTTCTTAAAAACATCTTCATTCAAACCTAACCTAAATTTGGTTAGGCATAAAATTTGAGTCCTGAATTCATTTGGAATTTTTAAAATTTTTTAAAAATTCTAAGTTATTATTTTTTCAATTACAATTGATATATCCTACCTAAAAAAAAAAAAAAAGAGTAATATGCAAATTAACCATCATTCCGCTCCACAAGCCATGCACACAAGCCAATCAGAGAAAGTATGCAAATAGACGCAACTAAGATGGCTACCGCCACAGAGAGCAGGAGGGAGGCGTTTTCCCAGCAATGGAGGAAGCCAAGCTTTCTGCCTGCCCTTGCTGGCCTAAGCCTCCACTCAAGGCTACAAAGTTTCAATTAAAGAAGGTAAACAAATCCAAACAGAAATGGCTGCCACCACAGGGTGAGCAGGAGGCTTGGCTCTGCTCCAGGCTACAAAGTTTCAATTGTAGAAAGTAAATATATCCCAGATACCAGGGCCTCCGCTTGGGTCGCTGGGGGGTGTGGCTCGCCTGCAAACCACCAGAGGCCCCTCACTCAGGCCACCCCATTCCCCAAGAGAAACCCCACCCTGATCCAGGACACTCTTCAGGGCAAACCAGCTGGCCCCCACCCGTGCACCAGGCCTCTATCCTATCTAATAAAAGAGTAATATGCAGATTGACCATCACTCCAACACACAATATGGCTGCCTCCATGTGGTCAAAGATCCTGCCCTATGGGAACACAAGATGGGCAGCAGGGGAGGGCAGTTGGGAGGCACCAGGCCTGCAAGGGAGGGCAGTTGAGAGGGACCAGGCCTGCAAGGGAGGGCAGTTGAGAGGGACCAGGCCTGCAAGGGAGGGCAATTGAAGGCAATCAGCCCTGCAGGGGAGGGCAGTTAAGGGTGACCAGGCCAGCAGAGGAGGGAAGTTGGGGGCAAACAGGCTGGCAGGGGAGCAGTTAGACATCATTCAAGCTGGCATGGGAGTAGTTAAGGGGTGATCAGGCTGGCAGGCAGAAGCGGTTAGGGGCAATCAGGAAGGAAGGCAGCCAAGCAGTTGGGAGCCATCAGTCCTGGATTGTGAGAGGGGTCCCAGATTGGAGAGGGTGCAGGCTGGGCTGAGGGACAATCCCCCACCTCCTGCCCCCATGCATGAATTTCATGCACCGGGCCTCTACTAATATTATATTAGTTTCTAGTATGTACTCCAGTGATTGGACATTATGCAACTTACTAAGTGATCATCTTGATAAATTTTATACCCATCTGACACCACACAGTTTTTACAATATTACACTGGACAGCCTTATGACTATCCTAGAACTACCAATTGTACTTCTTAATCCTTCACATTTTTCACTCATCCTCACGCCCCTCTCCCATCTGACAACTATCAAAATGTTCTCTGTTTGAGTCTGTTACTAGTCTGCTTGTCTGTTTATTTTATTTTTAGATTCAATTGTTGATAGATACGTATTTATTAATATATTATTATTCATATTTTGATCTTTCTTGTTCTTAAAGAAGGCCTTTTAACATTTTATGTAACAGTAGTTTGGTGGTAATGAACTCCTTCAGCTTTTCTTGTCTAGGGAACTCTTTATTTCTCCTTTAATTTTAAATTAGAGTCTTGCTGGGTAAAGTTGCCTTGGTTATAGGTCCTTTCTATTCATCACTTGGAACATCTCTTGCCAGTCCCTTTTGGCCTGCAAAGTTTCTGTTGAGAAATTACTGACAGTCTTATGAGAGTTCCCTTGTTGATAACTAACTGCTTTCCTTTTACTACTTTTAAGATTCTCTCTTTGTCATTAACCTTTTGCATTTTAATTATGATGTGTCTTGGTGTGAACCTTTTTGGTTTCATCTTGTTTGGAACTCTGTGCTTCTTGGACTTGTATATCTATTTCCTTCACCAGGTTAGGGAAGTTTTTCAAGTAGGTTTTCAGTTTCTTGTTGCCTCTCCTCTCTGTCCAGCATCCCCAGGATGAGAGGGTTGGCACACTTGAGTCCCAGAGGCTTCTTACACTATGCTCATTTATTTTTTTATTTTTCTTTTGTTTGCTGTTCTGATTGAATGTTTTCTGCTTCAAAATCATTTATTTGATCCTTTACCACATCTACTCTAATGACTCCCTATAATGTGTTATACATTTCAGTTATTGTATTCTTCATTTCTAACTGCTTTATTTTTTTTCTATCTCTGCTCTTAGATTTTTCTATATCTTTTGTTTTGTTTTGTTTTGTTTCTATATTTTTATGACGTTCTCACTGAGTTCTTGCCCTAAGTTCATTGAGCATCCTATAACCAGTGTTTTGAACTTTACATCTTGTAAATTGTTTGTCTCCATTTCATTTAGTTCTTTTTCTGGAGTTTTGTTCTGTTCTTTCATTTGGGTCATGTATCCTCATTTTGGAAGTCTTCCTGTGTTTGTTTCTATGCGTTAGATATAGTTACAACATCTCTGGATGTCAGAGTGGCCTAATGTAGTAGGTGTCCTGTAGGGCCCAGTGGCACAACCTCCCCATTTGCCCAAGTTGGGTACTCCAAATGAGCACCCCTATCCGTGGTGCTTCAGCCTTGATTGCTGTTGGCAATCAATTGAAGGGATTTATCCCCAGGCCAGTTGGTTGCAAAGACTGGCTGACCACCAATCACTATGGAGGATCAACTGTGCTAAGGGCTCACCCCACAGAGCAGGCTTTACTTCAGCAGGACTCTGGTGCCCACTAAGTCCACCTCTTCAGTGTGCTACTTATGGAGGTGGTTAGATGGTGACACTTAGACTCAGTCTGAAGCTTTTCACTGGGTGTGCTAGCTCTGGGGCCTCCCTGGAGATACAGATACCTCCTGTGTTCTGCTCAGGGCCACTGATCATGAGCTACAAAGCAATCTATAGGTGGCTGTTACTTGTGCTGGGCTTGGAAGTGCCCAGGAGGGGGCAAGCTGCAAACCAAGGTGGGCTGCCACTTCATGAGAGGTTCAGGGCACACTGAGATCAGATGCTACTTTTTTGAGAGATTTTAGGAAAATTTGAAGCATGAGCCACAACAGTCCATTTGTATGGAAAAGAAAAAACAAACAAACAAAAAACACTGGAAACTGTCAGTGGGCCCACAAGTTGGGTGGTGACCGGGTTTCAGGGAATCACTAGGGCAGGACAGTGATGGCCAGGTTGGTTGAGTCTCAAATATGGTGCCCACCTGCCAGCACTGTGAGTGAAGGGCTCCGAAAAGGAACAATGGCCTCTGCCAGCACTTCTGTCTGGAGAAAGCTGCTCCTCCAGCCCTCATGCTGATGCCAGACACTTCAGTCCCTCCCTGTAAGTCCCTTTCAAGCTGCTTCCCCAGTGCTGTAACTCAAAGAGTAAGTCTGTTTGTGGGCCCTTTAAGAGGAACTCTTAGGACCCTGGCCAGATAGTTCAGTTGGTTAGAACATCATCCCCCAAGGTTGTAGGTTTGATCCCTACAACCAGTCAGGGTACATATAAGATCAGCCAATGAATGCATAAATAAGTGGAACAACAAATCAGTATTTCTCCTTTTTTCCCTCCCTCTCCTCCTCTCTAAAAATCAATCAATAAATAAAGTAAGAAAAAAAATTTAAAAAGACACTCCTCGTACTCTAGCACCATCCCTCTCATTCAGCCTCAATTCCTGCTGGTTTTTACAGCCAGCAGTTGGGGACTTCTCTACCTGACACTGGAATCCTGGGCTGGAGATTAAACTTCAAGGGCTAAAATACAAGTACCTCCTTGGAGGGGGCTGGTGTGGGCTGGGAACTCTGGCTCCTCAGCAGGGACCTCATCAGGTAAGCTATCCTTCCCCATTTTTATCCACACATGGGTGTACAACCAGCCCATTCCACATTCCACGCCTCCTATCAGCCTCAATGTGGCTTCTTCTTTATATCCTTAGATGTAGAATTCGGTTTGGCTATATTTCAGGCAGTTTTGAATGATGGTTCTGTGTTTAGTTGTAATTTTGATTTGGTTGAGGGAGGATGAGAGCACCACATTTACCGACCGTTTGTTTTCTCTTCCATTCCCACCCCCTCACCTGTTCTATAGGACGACGAGAGCCTGAAGTACCTCACACATGAGGAAAAGGATGTCATCCTGTTTTTTGAAGAGACTATTGATTCCCTGGAGGATGACTTTGAGGAGCAAGTCCTGTGTGACAGTGGGGTACACTGCCAGCCCCCAAAGTCTCTGGAAGGGAGCACTCCCGGCCTCTTGGAACCAGAGGATGTCATTGACTTAGTGCAGCCAGTATTCGCAGCTGGGGAACCTGAGCGCCTCCCGGATGTGACTGAAACAGCAGGTGAGGAGTGACGCACCAGTCCCCAGACTCTGGCTTGCTTTGTTAGTGTTTGGCATGACACAGGCACTGCTTTCTGTGTCTGCCAGTGTGGAGCTGGGACTTACCAGACTTTTGTAGGTTAGAAGCATCATCTTCATAGTTTGTCCAACTAAGTAGATGTTTTCTTAGCGCATTAGGATGACAACACATGAAGGGCAATTCCAAAAGAGCTAGAGTTAAGGATGAAACTATTTGTCATACAGATAAACTTGATATATACAAAGAAAATAAAAAATGGCTTCAGGTAACAACTCATTATAGAAAGAAAACATACCATAGGAGATACTTGTATTTTAGCCCTTGAAGATTGATCTCAATTTTTGTGCAAGATTATATCCCTGCAGCTGTAGCATGGCTGCCGAGGTGAGAATATTTAAGCTGAAAAGTCAGCTGGTTCAGGAAAATGGGAAATGACGAGAAGGAAAATTCAGCTCACCATCCTCTTCGTACCTTGCCTAATGCAGGGCGGCATCGAAAGGGAGGTCTGTTCACCAAGTCCTGTGATAAAAACCGGGGGCACAAGGAGAAAATTTTCTTCCATTTTCCTTCCAAATTGGAAAAAATATTGGAAATCAACGTGGTCGAGGGCATAAGGATTAGTGATGAGGAGGGAAAAAAATAGAAGAGAAAATTATTTTGCTCGGCTACCTACAAAATATTGCCATTTGTTTCGAGCCTCTAGAAATATTTTCCCCGTTTTTTATTTGTAATTAGGGCTGTGTGTTACACAACATTTTACATACTACAGTTATAGATTCCAAAGATGGAGCTTAGTTTGCAGCCATCTCTTCAAAGAAGAGACTTAATATGAATTCCCCATTTTTATCACAGTTCTTTGTAGTTCCTAAAATAAATTTGAACCAGCTGTTCCTTTAAAAATGTCAGATCATAGGTTGGCACCAAGGAAAACACATTTTGAAAATAAGCCACCTTGCCCATCAGTTCCCTAACATGACATTTTCATAGCAATTGTAAGGGCCTCCTCTTTGGCAGGCGTTGTGTGAGACTCTGCAGTAAAAGATAAATAAGGCGGCTCACCGTTTTGCAGCTGGAGACAGGTGTATAAGCGTAAGTCCAGAACAGTAGTAGGTGACCTGTGGCCAATGTATGTTCAGGATCTAGTCAAGGCTCCAAGGCTGGCACATTAAGCTCTGCCTGGGGCTGTTGAGAAACACTGCTATTTCATGGAGGAAAGCGATGGGGTTGTTGATGTGCCTCATCACCCCCAGCTTCCATTCCCCCTTTGTACAAATCCCTGCAAAGGCAAGTTACTGTTTCCTCCTGTGCATGGCTCAGGCAGATGGGTCCTAAGGAGCTTGCTTTTATGCTATGCTTCCCAGGTACTGACCATTTCCGCCTGGGCAGTCTTCCACCATCACTGGTTCATTCTTCTCGTCCTGTGGTTAGGAGAACCATGTATTCTGTTCTCTCCTGTTGGTCCAGGGGACAGGGATAGAGGAGGTTCAGCTTACAGGAGGCACTGTTGAAGTTGGTATTATGTCCCTTTGAGACTCTTTTCAATTCGGGGGAGGGGGTGGGGGGGAGGGAGGGAAAGAGATGCAATGTGTTTATCTTTACATAAAGTTACATAAACTTATGAGGGTTCTGCCTACTTCTCAGGGGCTGGACCTGCTGGGAAGGAAGACATTGCTGTCCTGGAAGGCGGGGCCCAGGACGTGGAGGCTTCTCCCCCACCAGGGTGCACAAGCCCAGAGGCCCTTCCTCAGCCGCCCTCCCTGCCTGTGCCCGCAGCGCCAGCCCACCCCAGGAAGGAGCAGCTCTCCTCCTCTCCGCCAGCGGAGCACCCGAAACTGCCCCGTTCCGTCCCTACTCCCCTTGTCATCGCCCAGAAAATCTCTGAGAAGTTGGCGGGAAATGAAGCACTTTCACCCACCTCCCCGTCCAAGGAGGGCAGGCCTGGAGAATGGAGGACACTGACCTCCACGGCCCCTCGAAACGGAGACCACTTGTTGTGGCACAGACACTCGGCACAGCCCGCACCCAAGATCCACCGCTTCCCCAGCAACATCAGTGTGACCAACAGCGCCGGGAAGGAGTTCAACAAGACCATCTCCAAGGCCGCGGTCAACGTGCAGGAGCGGAAAGCCCGGGTCCTGGCCAACATTAACGGAGTCTCTTTCTTCTCCATGGGAGAGTCGGAAGATCGGGCCCAAAAGGGCCATCTCCCTGAGCAGAAGAGGGAGCACACGTCCCTTGCCTCTCCAGAGCAGGGGACGTGTGGCCAGAGCAAGCAAGGCCCCGTCCAGGAAGCTGTGTCCACACAGGCAGGAGCACAGACCAGCAGTCAGTCCAGAGGCGTGCAGACAGAGCAGACCCCACCACTGGTGAATGGCTTCCAGAACATCCACGATGTCCTGAAGAGTGAGCCCGGTGCCTTTTTCTCTACTGGGAAAACTATCACTATCCGCCCGGATAAACTTGCACGGCAGAACGCCAGCAAGAGCTTGTATGAGCACCGGCAGCCGGACTGCGGTCAGGATGCTAGGAAGCGGTCAGGTTCACTGCCCAGGGCCGTGGGGTTTAGACCCCAAGGCATCACTGTCCAGTTTGCTGGTCGGGGCTCCACTGAGGAAGCTCGCCGGGAGGCCCTGCGGAAGCTTGGCCTGCTGAAAGAGAACTTGTGATGGGAGATGAGTGGGGGCTGGAGTGCTGGAGGGCCAAGTTGGTTTGGCCTAAGGTGGATGTGCATTGTAAAGAGCAATCACAACAGTCCCAACAGCTCTGCCCTGCTGCAGTCTAGCAATGACGGTTACCGGGACTCAGAAGCCTGCCACCTTTGAGCTGGGATTTCCTTCTATAAACAAGGGCCAGCACTAGAGCTTCCTTTTCTAAGAACTCAGATAATAACCTTGAAGACCAATAGGTTTCTATGATTTGTAACTGCCATCTATTTTGTAGATTCAGGAGAAGGGGGATTGGGTCCAATTTGCTATTCTTGAGTCTCTAACCTAGCCTTTGATCTCAAGCAAATGGACATGAAGGCCAGTTTAGATCTCTTATACTCAATTCTCTAAGCTAGGGATTTCTTCTCCTTTTCTAAGAAAATATTAAAACTGAGTGTTAAGTTTTCATAGTGTCTTACCATACATATTTGGTTTTTTTCTTTTTGAAAGGTATAGGGTAATATGTTAGCCCTAAATATGCTTTTGTTTCTTGCTATAATTTGGTTTTCCTAGTTTTTTATTGAAAATTGAGATGAAACCTTTAGAGAATGATGCACTGTAAGTTTAAGTTATGTGAGTGGAACAGAAAGGTTGAGTGTGGAAAAGGTGGTAATTTCAAGGAAGCAAGTCTCATCATGCTGAAGGGTCTCTGTTGTTGAAGGATATGTGTGTGAATGTCTATTGTGTATATACATGTATAAAATACGTTCATAGAAACATGTTAACATATACATATATAGGTATTGTGTTGGCACATATACATTCATCATTACTTACATATAAACTTCTTAAAACCCTATACTCTTGATAGACACTCAGCATTGGGGTGGGTGACATAGAAATGGTTACTTCCTAACATGGAAGTCTTTTAAGGACACACCTCCAGGATATTTCGGTGAATCCAAGTGCTTTTTCCTCCGCAGTGTGTGTCCTGTTCCCAACTAAAGTAACATTCTGAGTAAGGTTGCAGATAAGCAAGATAGTTTTACAAAATTTTTAATGAAGAACGTTTTCAAAGATTTAATTTATCACCTGACTTTAACCTAATTTAATTTATAACTTAACTTTAGTTCTGCATGTTCCAAGGTAGCTAGTAAACAGGAGGAAACAAAAGATTCTTCAGATCCCCTGTGTCCTGTGGGCACGGTCTCAGGATTAATTTAAAAGGGAAAAGACAGCAAACTAGATGACAGCATGAAAAGAGCTGGTTTACTCCCAGACTGTCCTACATGCTGAGTTGTAACCATAACCATTATTATCAAACTAGTTAAGGCGGGCGTCTTTAACCTCTAAAAATAGGCTGGGAAGGGCCACACTAAGATACCACGCCCTTTTGTCATGGCTCAGCCTCTGTCACAGAATCTGTTTCTTTCCTGGTGATATTATTTAAATTCAAATGTGATGTGAAAAACACTTTTTCATAGTGTTCCATTTGCCTTGTAAGTTACAGAAAATGATTGTAATTTCTTTTCCTTAGAATTACAGTATTTAGTATCTCAGCCGGTTTCTTGATGGTCTTGTTTTAAACAGGTATTAAAGTTGTTTTTATTTTACTCGTTTATATTGGATATGGTTAAAGGATTATTGAAGGCTATATTATCTTTTTACAAAGTGAGATGCCATACACAGTGTTTAAAATAGAGAGTCTTGATATGGCTGATTTATTTTTATCTTATCCTATGATGTCATTTGATTAAGGTGAACTTGACTATATGTAGCATATTTGTTTTCATAATGATAATTTTGAAAAATAAATTTAGATTTATCTTATATACAAACAACTTTTGTTTTGCATTTTATACTTTCAATTATTTTCTTTTAAATGTTATATCCTTTCCTTATATTTATTCATAATTTCTTGTATTTACTTCTATCATTGCTCTGGTCATTACTTGTGTTCAAACCCTAGAAATTAAAGCCATACATTTTGTTCGAGGTTCAAATTATGGTTGCCAATGAAGTAACCTGTCTGTGTACGTATCTTGTTAACACAAAATAACTAATTTGCTGGAGGACATTCTTTTTCTTGCCATACTACATGATAGGACACTCTTAAAGGGTCACCTTCAAAGAAATTTTAAGAACCATAGTTCAAAGCAAAAATGTAACCAAAAGGAAAGGTGAATATTAAGTGCCCGTTTTTATGGGTTTTTTTTTTCAAGAGAGATTTGTAAGTCAGTCTTTGAAACTCTTTATCTTAAAATGAGGGGGGAATTCTTTTGCTTTTATTTTTATTTTTTTATTTTTTAAGAACATTATTTTATTAAAGTATTATATGTATACATATCTTACCATTGCTCTCCTCCCTCCCATACATACCCTCCCTACCCAGAGTTTTGTGTCCATTGGTTGTACTTATATGCATATATACAAGTCCTTCGGTTGATCTCTTATCTCCCCCAGATCTCCCTACCCTCCCCGCTGTAATTTGACAGTCTGCTTGTTGCTTTACTGTCTCTATATCTACTTTTTTGTTCATCAGTTTATAATGTTCTTTATTATCCAAAAATGAGTGAGGTCATGTGGTATTTTTATTTCATTGACTGGCTTATTTCACTCAGCATGATGTTCTCCAATTCTACCCAGGTTGCTGCAAATGATAAGAATTCCTTCTTTTTTATGGAAACATAGTGTTCCATTGTGTAGATGAACCATAGTTTTTTGATCCAACCATCTACTGGTGGGCACCTAAGCTGTTTCCAAATCCTAGCTATTGTAAATTGTGCTGCTATGAACATAGGGATGCATATATCCTTTTTGATTGGTGTTTCTAGTTTCTTAGGATATATTCCTACTGTGTTTCCCCGAAAATAAGACATCCTCCGAAAATAAGACCTATTTACAGGTTTTCTTCTGAGTGAAATATAAGGCATCCCCCCCAAAATAAGCCCCCCCCCCCAGGCTAAACATGAGAGATTTGGTCCACTGATTTTGAAAGAAATGGAGTCACAAGAAATTCACCAGGAAATTCAGGAATTGGATTGTTATGATGATGTTCCAGAAGATGATGACATGATTGTCATTGAATAAATGAGTAAATTTTTGATACTGTAGGATTCAGTTTGTCCGGTTTGTGTTGACAACTACCGTACTACCATACCGTATACAGGTAATAAATTTCCTTTATTTTCATTTAACAATAAATGTGTACCGTATTCTTCTTCATGGAAAAATAAGACATCCCCTGAAAATAACACCTAGCACATCTTTGGGAGCAAAAATTAATATAAGACACTGTCTTATTTTTGGGAAAACAGGGTAGGAGTGGGATTACTGTGTCAAATGGGAGTTCCATTTTCAGCTTTTTGAGGAAACTCCATACTGTTCTCCACAATGGTTGCACTCCCACCAGCAGTGCATGAGGGTTCCTTTTTCTCCAACACTTGCCATTTATTGATTTGTTGATGATAGCCATTCTGACAAGTGTGAGATGGTACCATATTGTGGTTTTGATTTGTATCTCTATTCTTTTGCTTTTATTTTTTTAAATATATTTTATTGATTTTTACAGAGAAGAAGGGAGAGAGATAGAGAGCTAGAAACGTCGACGAGAGAGAAACATCGACCAGCACACCACCGGGGATGTGCCCGCAACCAATGTACATGCCCTTGACCGGAATCGAACCCGGGACCCTTCAGTCCGCAGACCAACGCTCTACCGCTGAGCCAAACCGGTTTCGGCTATTCTTTTGCTTTTAAAAACGTATATGTAAATGGCCCAACTAGAGTCTCCTCTGCAGACTGTAATGCTTTGTAGTTGCCAGGGTAACAGGGTCTGTTCAGTCTCTCCTCCTCCTCCCCCTCTTGTTTAGTTCTTGGTGTGCACACTGATTCTCACAAAACCAGCAGAACTGTGGGTTTGTGCCGTCCTCTCCTGCCCACGTTCTCCTTCTGTGGCCCCTCGGCTGTGTGTCTTTGAGTCCCAGGATGTGCTCAGCCCAGGCCCAACTCGCGCCCTGCCCTGGCTCCTTGTCCTGACCTGGACAACGTAGGCTTCTTCCCTCAGAACCCTGATGGGAGGTGAGCTCCCCTGTGGGCTCCCCACTTGAAATGAGCTTTCGTGAAAGGCTTCGTGTAGTTGATAAACAAGGCCTTATGGGTCCCTTAGGATTGGCCTCTTTATTTGTAAAAAATCAGAAATGTATTCTCTTTATTAAATTCCTGCATCTCTAGCTATGTGAAATTTGATCTTTCAGAGGATTTGATGGTGGTGTATTTGTACAGAGAATCTAAGAAATCAGTTCTTTATATTTATTCAAGAGTAATGAAGAGAGAGAACTAAGATAAATATGAAAATCTATTGTTATCAAGAAACTTGTAACTGCTATGCCATTTCCCTGGTGGATGTGGCAGAATGAGGCCCTGTTTTGGTTTTATTTTAAATTTACCTCTATTGTTGAAAGTTTACAGATGTCCCCTTCTCCCCCTCCCCCCCCCCATTGCTCCTCTCTACCCTGCTCTTGCCCCTTTCCCAGGCCTTCCCCTGACTATTGTCTGTCCAGGGGCTATGCATATACGTATGCCTTTACCTTAGCCCCATTCCCTCTGAGAATCATCAGTCTGTTTCATGCTTCAATATCTCTGGATCTTTTTTGGTTGTCAGTTTATTTTGTGCATTAGGTGGAACCTAAGAACAAGATCTGACTGGCTTGTTTCACTTAACATAATACTCTCCAGGCCCCTCCATGCTGTTTCAAACAAGTTCCATACTTTGCCCTAGCTGCTTTGGCTCAGTGGATCGAGCATGAGCCTGCAAACTGAAGGAACCCTGGCTCGATTCCGGTAATTGATTCCACATTTCTCCTTTTGTGGCCCCTCGGCCGCATGTCATTCTGGTCATTGCTTCCAGTCGTTGGGGGCTCAGTTCCCAGTAGGGGGCATGCGGGAGGCCTCCAATCAATGATTCTCCCTTCCTCTCCCTTCCTTTCCCTTCCTCTCTGTAATAAAAATATTTTAAAAAA